CCTGCAGGCCGTTTTTCATTTTTAATGGTTGGTTTACCTGTAAAAAAACAATAACATTATTTTCAGTTAGTACGAGTATACTACGAAAACTAAGAGAGTAACAATGACACATATGTATGTAAGTCCTTTTTGACATTAACAACATCCAATGCCGGGAGAATGCGATTACAGCAACCAAAATTTAAGAAAAGCGTGCTATAGACTTAGGATGCCTATAGGTTGATAGATTGCAAGATGGATGGATGGTAATAAAGAAGACTTTAAAAAGACTATATTTCCTCATTTTTATGTACTTTCCATGAAACTGCACACATTGTGTTCAAGGGTTAACATTGTGTATTAAAAGGAGGGATGAGGTAAGCGCTTGAGCCGTCGAGAAACTGAACAATATGGGATTTTATGGGGATTATAAAGATGTGTCGATATGGTAGTATAAAGGAATTGACAATATGTTTTCTCGTCATGTATATTGAAGTCAACTGACATCAAATTTATGCGATAGGATCTCTACAAGCAACGATCAATGGTATAGTCTTTTCAATTTCCCTGAAAGTACTACCGTGTTCAACAATCCCAGCAACAAATATTTTACTTCGTCAATGAGGCGTACATTATCCATTGGACGTTATTGGAGAGCACTTCATACCTCCAGAATCCAGGACTTACCAGTGTAGTGTGGTTATGGGCAATATCATCAGTCTATTTTGGTGGTATGTTTCGACAGTAATCCATGATGCTTACTTGATATACATATTATGTCCTCGTGAACAATGCAGTGAAATAAAGCACTCGAATACTTTTTTTTCAGATACTGAGGAATGATCTCCCAACCTTAATATGGGTGTATGCCAGACAATGCGCCAACGTTTGAATTAGCATAATTATGTGATTGCATTGTGCTTGCGTGTGTACAAATTCCGTCTTAGTGAGAGTGAAACAATAATTTATCCCTACTATACTACATACTACACTAGTAATTTGTTACTGCTTTTTCAATAGGGAATCCTGAACCAGGCAATCTACTTTTAACAAGTTGAAAGTATTTCAGCAGCAGGTAAAATCTGTTCGTTTAAAGGCACGCACATATTTTAACGTCATTAAAGCAACTGCAGTCGGTTATGGCAATCGTTGTTCAGGCCAGACTGCAGCCATTTTCCCCAAACACGACACATGTAGATCTACATCAATTATTTATCGATCTTCTACTTAATCGACAACATTTGTACATCAATGCAGTAGTAGAGTAAGTGTAAAATTAGTAGTTGACCTTGCAATAGCCAGATCAATGTTCATGAGAGTGCTCAGTACGATTGAGGTTGAAATCATCGTCCAGATGCCAAGACATTTACTGTTCTCAAATTTCGCTCACAAGTCACGTAGTGCAGTACTGCAAAGAGATCGCCGTCCATTTGAAGAATGATAGAGCAGAGAGATAGCTAAATTCGAATCTTGTTAGCAGCAGACCCTTCAGGGGCAAGGCCTCAGCACGAAATGTCACTGATTTACGACTTACAAAGAGGCCACGTGCAACAGATTGCAACGCATTAGAACTATGGACAAAGGTGCCATTTAAACAAATACTATTGTAGGCTTTTTCGAGATATTTTTATATACAATGTTCATGGAAAGCAAGAGAAAAGTATGCAACGTCACAAAGAAGAATTTATTGACCAATGACTAAAAAAATTAACATTTGGCTTTTTAGTTAGTTCTTGTGTCAGTTAGATGATTGCTACTGGCCCTTGCATGGGCCTCAATTTACAAGCAAGGCCAGTTGGAATTGCACGTAGACCATTAGCGTACATTTACATTCGTCTATGACTTTAACGCTCCAAAATCTCATTTGCCTCGTGAAAATTAGTGGCAGTTGCTTTTGACCTTGGTGATATAGCACTGTAAATATGCGTAATGTTATAAGTTTGGCAATAGAAATTTGAAAATGAAAAACAAATTATAATTATCAAGATTCGATTGTAATAATGTAATTGCGTTGCCAGCTACATCCAATTGGTTTCAAATAAGACTTATATAAGATTTATCAAAGTAAGATATCGATCTTTATATTTCCTACACAAATATGCCCAGAACACTTTAGCAAAACGCTCTCAGGCTCTGTAGCGTATTGATCATAAATTTCCTTGTGTTTTTCATCATGTTTCTACAAATCGTTGACAACATACCCATCCATTTTTTTTCGTGAAATGAATTGGTTTTTGGAGTGTTATATCTCTGTTATGTTTTTTATCTCTGTTTTCCAGCCAATATGCTCATATATCTCCATGCATTATCGTAATTATGGGTTCACCACACCACGAAGTGGTGTGGTGAAACCATATTGCTTTTTCTGATGTTTCTTCTCCTTCTCCTCCTCCTTCTCCTCCTCCTGCCATATCTTTAAATGGATTCAGCTTCTTCATTTTAGGGCCTAAGGTCCTGAAATTTGGTATGGAGGTACAGTGGGCAAATACCCCTAGGCGTTTTTTAAATTATTGTGATACAGGCTTTTAGAATGGTTTTATTTGAGTTTTTTGGCTGTGTAATAGCTAATGTATTACTGTGTAAGTGTGCAGTGTTTACCACATTTGGACATGAGTCATCACAATGGCATGCAAGGCATCAACCAATAGGCATGCAGCTTTCCTCTATTCTCCTTGCTGATTGGCTGTTGGGATTTAACTGGCTTAACTTCATTTACACCTGCACAGAGCCATGCCATACTGACAGTATGTCTGTATTCAAGTGTTTTGGTAGGTATTTTAAGCTTTCCTGCTCCAGCATTGGAATGCGGGCTATGAACGCTTCTTTTTATCTTGAAAATCAACAGTTTGCATTATGCAATCCTAACCAATAATGTAGGGAATAGCTATCCAACTGTTGTAGTCTTAGTTGTATGTTACTTCATACTATAGTTATATCAATGTAAAGCATTGTTTTCCCTTGTGTTTCTCATTCTTTCCCTGCCATGTGGTAAAATGTGGTGAACCCATCGCTATATTTGCTCCAAAGCAAATATTGGCCTTTCTAGTTTATGGTACGATTATTACAGTTAATGTAGTCAGGTCGTGGTCTTTGCACAACTACATCAACAGGGTGAGGCCAAGAAAGACTGCAGAATCGTTCGCAACTTCCGCATAAATTCACGTGATCATTAATACCATTTTTTTTCAAATCACTGAACTCATTCAACTAGTCAATAATAATAATGCAGGTAGGAATACTAACGATTAATGTGGGTGACCTTGATTGTGGGAGCTATCAATTTATCACATGGACCTCCAGGTCATAGAATTATAACGCAGTGTGGAATATTGACCACGAAGGCCTTCAGGGACTATGCACAATGTCACAGTTGGGGGTTTGGCGCCAGCGGGGTGCAATTCTAGTCCGTACACATAAAGAATGAAACTAAAAAAAACAGGAAATATATTTGAAACGGAGTGCGTAGAGTAAATGTATAAGGATTATTATATGAAAGGTAAGTTTAATCAACTATTAATAGATATTAACCTAATTTTGCACAATGTAACATGCTTTAATTTAATTGGATGAATCAGGAAGCATTAAATAGCTTGACTTAAAAAATTCATAAAACTATGCTGATTGAGTCCAAATTACCTTGTTTAAATTGAAGTTGGCATATTATTCTGCTTCTAACCGATGTGAAGAACGATTGTCTTGGTTCTCTCATTGAATTTGACGACGAGCATCTCTATGATAGTCTAAGCATCACTTCGTGATATGTTTCTGTAGGTTCTTCAAAATTCTGTATTTGTTATACAAGACTAGAGGCAAACGCGGTAGCACGTTATTAAGAGTTCATTTCCTCTAGCACTACACTTAAGACACAGATTGCGAACGATAGCGTTGGCCTTTGGTGACAAACGAGCGGTGACATTCGTATCTACTGAATCTGACTCCTTAATGAGATTGTACATGGGCACTGTGGGCATACCGCCTACCACACAATAGTCTATTCTTACCCGCTTAACGCTCTTAACGATCGACCTTTAAAATATGCAGCATTTTTGACATGAAAAATCACCAATCTACGACAGTCGGTATTCTGTAAATCTCTGCCCATATAGCACGGGGCTATAGATTTTTCCAATAGATCTCCGACCAAACAGCCTGTAAACATCCTTGCTCATGGCAAAATTATAGTTTCAGGTAGTAAATTAAACCAAGTCGTTTTATGGCATCTGGACTACCTAATTGCATTTGGCTGGTCTCATACAGCTGATCTTGTTCGTCAGATTTAATCACGCTAAATAAGTATGGGCTAAATAATCTGCGTAATCTTAAAGCATCACTTTGCTTTGCGGAGATGTAAACAAGTAATTGAGATTGGCAGATCCTAACCAGAGATGAAATCGACCAATTTAGTCTTACCCCCGGGGTAGGATGGCAAACCCCGATAAACCCTGCTGTTATTGACTCCAATATAGGGCTTTGTCCCTAGATACACCATTGTGCGGTTGAAAAGGATGCTAACGTGATTTTATGATATTCCTGACAGTAGGAAAATCAATGGCAGACACTACCAATGGTAGGCGATAAGTTGTTGTAGACATGGTGACTTACTGGTATGGGGTTATCAACTTTGACGTAGAAGGGAATATCAATTTGGTTGGTAGCATCGAACAGTTTTTATTGACTGAAAGTGGGGCTTAGAGATGGAAAGAATCTGGTATCGTATTTTCGGTGAGATCTTTAACGTGCTCAAGGTGTGGATCATTTCCTTAAACATTGGACCTTCAGCTTTAGCCTCCACCAGGGTCATGTTAAATTGCTTTCTCAAGGTCAAAACGATAATTGGGCCCTACTAGATACTTGAACCCAGAACCTTTAGATTCCCTCTAATAACAACAGAGACCAAAATTGGTTTTGTGTGTATCACTCTTTTTTCTACCGTTCTGCCAAATATCTGATCGCCCAGCGATTGCTGGTCTGTCGCATCCGCTAGTGAAAAGGCGGTGCAGGCTATAACTATAACATAAAAGCTTATCTTCACTCTAAACTCTGCAAATTGTTTGTAATTTCTACAGTCCATGCAGCAATCTACAGGACAAGACCTCAACCCATAGCAGCTCTACTAGGACAGACTATCACACTGAGATGTTCATTTAAAAACCTGAGATCGGACGATGTGGTCAACTGGTTTGGACCTCCAGAGTTCCAGCATATATCTGCAGCCAGAAACGTCCATTCGCGGTACACAAGGTGAGGGAAGGAAGGGGCTTGGTAAATGGTGGAATGTCAAACAGTTCCAAATCATCATGTAGTATTGCATTTATAGGGGGATGTCAATTGATCATTATTAATACGAAATCAAATTACTTCAGTAATAATTGGATTATCACTGAATAATACATCAATTTTGTATATATTCATTTCAATACATTTCAATTATGGACGTACTAAGGGTAATTAGATTCGGGTATTAGTTTGTGATAAGATATAGGAGAGATGCATTTTCCATTATACTATAAATACACATTGCTTTGGAAATCCACGACCTAGCAATCAAATGCAAATGATCCAAATCCAAACCTATTGATTGCTAGGTCGTGGATTTCCAAAGCAACGTATTGTTTCATTACTTATGCTAAACTTGACTAAATTGTTTAATTGATTCATTTATTACCTTACCATTATTCTTGATTGTTATTTATATTTCATTTGATAAAACTGTAAAAATTGAAAAATTATGAAGGTGAGGAGATCAAACAAGCCTTTATGGCTTTTCTTTCACCCCCTGCACGTTTACCTCCCTCCTTTGTATTATATTTTGTAAATTTTTATTATGTATGTACTAATAAATAAATAAATAAATAATCAATAATACTTATTCCTAAATACCTCACGACTGCACACAGATATTCTGTTGTGGACTCTAACGCTGACGCTGGAGAATTCAACCTGGAAATTCGGAAGGTGAAGCTAGAGGATGACGGGATTTATCGATGTAGTACGTTTTATGCCGAGAATGCTGCAGATGCTAGGCTAACGGTCGTAGGTATATAAACATTGTTATATTTTATTAATGTCAAATAAATATTGTATTTTCTTGCACAAGACCACTCAAGAACCAGATCGCATGTTGTTATAATTCAACGCGCAAAATAGTAATTTGTTTACAGGAATTCATTATGTTAACATTATGTTTAATTAAAAGCAATTGCTTTCTATGATCTGCTACTTTCTTTGGATTTCATGATATCTGCTCGGCATTAGTGCTCATTCATCTTTAACTAATTTACAACAAAAAGTATTGATTTTTGTCATACGAAATTCTTCATAACACAAAGATGCAAGCAGGCGGATCGCGGAAACAATAACCTTACTTGGATTCCTTTTTCATTTGTATGCATTATCTTTAGTGCCTCCAACCAGGCGACCAGACATCATTATCAAAAGTGATCCACCAACAGTAGGTCAAGCATTACGGGTGGTCTGCCGCCCCAGTGGCGGGCGACCTCTTCCTAAACTGACCTGGTACAACGGAACTCATCCTATCCGGCAGCCGGTACACGGCTGGAACAGGGGAAGACAGGCAGCAGACGGGCAGAGCGCGTTGATGATCCCGGTTCTGACCAAATGGGACAACGGGATGAACTTGACGTGCAGGGCCGACCAAGGTTTCCCGGACCTAGTTGAACCTGCTGTCACATCCACTGTCCTAAACATACAATGTAAGCTGTTTTAATAATGCAATTGTTACCATTACTCAGCTTTGCATTACTTCCCTCTTGAACATCATTTGCATCATAAATTAGCAGCAATTAAACTTGACATTCGTAAAATTCTAATATTTCACAGAGATATGATCATGAGTTGAGTTCTGGAACTCTCATTGTTTTGGTCAACGCACTATGGCATTTTGTAACGTAATTGAAACAACGAGGTCTATTGATTCGTCATTGCCGCAACATGCCTAACCAAAATCCTTCTTCTTGCCAATTCTGCAGATCCCCCCGTAGTTTCTGCCGTTAAGAGCACAGTCAGAGTGAAGGAGGGGACATTCACCAATCTTAGCTGCTATGTAGACAGCAACCCGCTGGCAACGGTGATGTGGAGGAAACTAGACGGACATCTACCTGCAGATGGCGAAGAAAGGTAATTAAATCAATCAAAGACCCTACGTATTATTGTTAACCACTGATGCGTTTCACTTGTTTATCTATCTAGCAACAGTGTTCTCTTAATAGATAGAATTTTAATATTCATCATTATAATTTAGTATTGTTAATGTTGAACTGTTCTGTTCTCGTGTCTTACATGCTCTAGACAGCAAATGGTCACATGTGCATTTAGTCCATCTGGACAGGAATATGCAATAAAGATTCATAGCAGTAGTCTATATGAACCGTGACACGTTGATTTGGAATGCTGTGGAGACCTACGTACGGTAATGGGCAATCGCTATTGGAGACAAGTGGTCTGTTATGATTAATTGGCTAAAGCTCGGTGGAGACATCAAGGCCACAACTGTGTCCAATAGAACAGACCTAGAAATCATTATTGGGTCATTATGTAGGTAACCTACCTATGCTTTACCTTTTTTTTATCATTTGTCACTCCAACCATAAATTGCAGGCCTAAAACAATAAAGAAAGCTATAAAGATAGCCTCAAGAAAGAACACAATTTGAAATTTTAGAGTTCATCTTTTTAGTAGAGCTATGAAATCAGTATCAATCCAGAAAGCACCATGTGGTCTTTATGGAACGCATGTATATTTGATGACATGAATCCCATCTTTTTCCAGACACCGGTCGTTCATCCTACCTGCCGTGTCCAGAAAACATGCTGGACGGTACCAGTGCCGGGCTGACAACGGGATCCAACCAGATGCCTTCGCTACAATATTATTGGATGTTTTGTGTAGGAATATTTTGAATTAGATCAATATCAAAAGCAGTTGTGAAGTAAAGAAAACACCTTATAGCAAAACATAACTAATCCTATGAAAGCGTTTTTCTTTCTTACATGATAGATGGTTCATTGCTTCTGTTGTTTACTTGTAGTTTAATATTTCTGTAATTCATTTCTACACATATATCAATATAGCAATATAGTTTTTCACTGTGATATCTGTGTGTGTCGCCCTGTTTCAGATCCCCCGACTATACAAACAAAGTTTGACAAGGTGGATGTCTTGTTTGGCAACACGGACTACTCACTGGAATGTAAGGCAGATGGAAATCCCAAGCCCAAGATAAGATGGCGAAGAACAAACACCAACCTGTACTTCAACAACCCTTTGAGGTATTCACAAACTTGTACACTTCTATATTGGCTTATACTTGATTCATATTGTAACCTGATACACTTTGAAGGAACTCATGTTTACTACAGTTTAATGCTGTGGAAGGGTACATTTTTGTCGGTAAAATTCAATTTGAACGTCTTCGAACTTAGAAGCTCTAACAACAATATTAGTATTATTACTTTGGTCTTATATTATAACCTATTATGACTACTAGAGGAATGAAGAGACGTTTTCAAGAAGTGCTCTTAATGATAAACAAGACATTGTATTCGTCAATATCGTCCAAAATCAGTACAGTATAGGATAGGATAGTCATGTTAGTCTTGCCAATGCCTGCTGCTTGGATTCCTAGCATGTCAAAGCTTCCAGCTAATTAGTTATTTCGCTCCATTTGTCCTGAAAGATTTTCCAAGTCGGATTACCAGACAGAAGGGGATTATGAATGCGTGGCGGAGAGCGCAGGCTTCCGTGCCGCTGTCAGACAGGCTGTTATCAATGTAATTGGTAAGTACAAATCGCCATTCATTAATACAAAGCATCCTTTATAGTTATAGTAAAGCGTATGTATAACCACAGCATCTGTCGCTGCGTGGTCATAAAATGCATTGCTCGATACACTTCTTGACTAAAGTCTATTCTATATTCATACAAAAAGTGCCTAATATAATTGCCATTATTGAAGTGATACTGAAATGTGTATTTTTTTCCATCATCAATCACTGCGTGGTCATAAAATGTATTGCTCGATACACCTCTTAACTAAAGTATATTCTACATTCACACAAAAAGTTCCTAATATAATTGCCATTATTGCAGTGATACTGAAATGTGTTTTTTTCCAGCATCAGTCACTGCGTGGTCATAAAATGCATTGCTCGATACACCTCTTGACTAAAGTATATTCTATATTCACACAAAAAAGTTCCTAATATAATTGCCATTATTGTAATGATACTGAAATGTGCATTTTCCCCAGCATCTGTCACTGCGTGGCCATAAAAATGTATTGCTCGATACACCTCTTGACTAAAGTCTATTCTATATTCACACAAACAGTGCCTGATGTAAAGATACTGAAATGTGTGTTTTTATTCCCTTTTTGTGTATATTGTTCACCAAAGGCAGACCAGATGTTCGTGGTGACCCGGAGACGATACGCACATCGCAGGGCAGCTCGGTAACTCTGCTGTGCGAGGTGAATGCCGACCCACAACTCAGCAGTATTTCCTGGCTCTGGAGAAACGACCGTGGTCGGCAGATTGCACTCCGTAAAAACCGCATCAGTGGTGTGAGCATTAGACAACGTACAACTACCATGGGGACCGACAGTATACTGGTCATCGATTCTGTCAGTACCGGCAATGCCGGGGAGTACAGCTGCAAGGCCACGAATATGTTCGGGGAAGATAGTAGGGACTTCACGATCGTAGTTGAAGGTATACGTTTTCGTCATTTGTCTTCTAAATATGCACTTTCTTTTGATGACTAGAGATAAAATCGTATTCTAGCTACGTGGCTTGTAACCACGAATTGTACTACATTAGGTGACATCCTGAGGCAGTGGAATTTATAGTGATACTAGCCGTATATTTAAGTACATAAATATCCTCAAACTCGTAATACTGTATCCTTCATACCGAATTACAAAACTCGCCCGGCTTTATCTTGTTTGCAATTTTTGCACTTTTTGAAAGAAATGAAACTACTTATTTTTTTATTTATATTTATGATGCAGGACCTCCAGTATTCATCATAGCCATGGTTACAGGTGTGCTAGCGGTCTCCATAATTCTCACTGTTGTCGCTGGGATTTGCATAGCCAGGAGAAGGAATTGCAGATGCTGCAACAAGACAAACACACGTAAGGACTAGCTTTCCTGTCTGTGCTTTACAATGTAGTAACAGCATGGATTAACCACTGTAATTGTAACTAAAAGAATGTAATCGGTCCGGAAATGTTCGCATCCTATTTGCCAAACAAAAAACATTGCTGGTATTGGCTTTCTTTCATCTGCATCGTTTCTGTCTGGGTGTATCATGCTTTTGTTCATATTTCCTATACAAAATACCAACGTGTATCAGACAGCAGCTTTTTGGCTACAGTTTTAAAACCTTCATCATGTATTTTCTTTCTTTAATGCAGAAGAAATGCCGATATCGAACGGAACAAAACCTCTTCCTCCAGCGCATCCTCATGTCCATGAGACATCAATGATGGAGTTGGAGGATTTTGGAGGCACGATGAAGCCCCGCCCACCTCCTAAAGGGGAAAAAGATCTTTATGCCATCGGCGTGAATTATCCTAGTGAGTAATTCTTATTATTTTAAAAGCTTTTCTTAGAAATAGCTCATAGCCTTTCTATTCCCAACATGCTTCTCCAATTTGATTTGTCTCTCTGAGGGTTTCTGTCTGTGTGTATTATGCAGAATGCAGAATTTCTTACATATTAAAACATTCCGCCATCTAGACCCGGTTATGCAGACCCCAACATATGCTGTGATGGACAGAAGGAAGTGCCATTGCAAAGACGAGGAGGCACATCGCAAGCATATCCACATAGAGACTCACAGAAGACATAAAATGAAACGTCCAATTACAAAACCTGTAAGTTCACATGAATCTTTACAGCAAAGGTATAATGCATGTCTTTTAAGTGGTCTCACATGTACTCAGCTTGCACTTTTGCGTCTTCATAACCTTTTTACTCATCGTGGTGTAAAATTTTATTCACAGTTGTTAAATGCTTTAACATCCCTTGCGAAATTATTAAACAAGATTGTTGATGATACTGTTTATAAAATGTGTATCTAAAAGCTAATAAGTACTCGTACTGTCTTTGTGTACTTAGGACCACGACTTATCGCCACACAATGGGGACTCCTGGAGAGTTGTATCGAAGAAAAGACACTTGCCTGAATACTGTGATAGCCAGGATGATGCTTACGCGTACGACGGACCCTACAACAAACACTTTCCAAGATCATAGACAGTCGTGTCATAGACAGCCTTTGCCTGTGGGTGTAAGATGTATGCCTGTGAGTAATCTACAAACTGCAATGGCGCTTGAGTTTGAAAAGTAATAAAACATAAACACGTACGCGTGGTCTAGCTTAAGACATCAAAATCATGGAACTGTAATTTTCACTTTAGAAAACCGCAATAACAGATGAAAAAAAAAAGAAATCCATTCACTGCGCTTAATCCTAAATGTACGGAATGGAATTCCATGTTTGTACTGCTTTTGCCTTTTTTCAATGTGAGAATTAAATGATGAAATTGTGTATGAAATTCTTGAATTACTTCCTTTGTGTTGTCTGTTGTAAAAAGGTTACGTTGAACACATCTCAGCAGGGACATTAGTTACATATGATAGCAGAATGACTCGAGAACAAACTAATAAGTAAACGTCAATTCAGAGAAACTCAATTTAGATTTCTACCGATAATCAATACAGATATAGAATTACAGTAATGTATCTATCCTTCCTAGCCGAATATAGATATTACGATCCTTTTTAAAGAATGGTTTAATCATGTCTAAGGACGGGTTACAATCTATCCACTAGGTAACAAATCGCTACCAATTTCTTATAGTTGTGTTGGCGCATAAGCTCTTCCCAGGCTCCTTCCTTTTCTTCATGCATTCGCATGCACATAACCTGCTTGAAACATCTGCGGCAAAAATTTCTGGATGCACTGGTGAATATTGCCTAAAGTTGCAGTGCTGTTGATTTGAAAGGCATTTCTTTTAAGTTACATTTTTCTCTGAAGCATACGCAAAGGTATTGACCTTAAAACGAGTTGCTCGAGGGAGTGTTTGAAGTTAAACTAATAATCCTGACTAACCGCAGGCAACTGCATACGAGATGCGATATCTGGTGTTGGATAAACACAGCAGGAAGTTGGTATCGACTTTTATCGTAAAACTGATTAAGGTCAGGGAAGATCGAAGACGATGTAAGGGGGTTAAAGTTCTTGGATTTAATCAGATCGAAGTCATACACAGTAAAATGTTTGATGTACCTGGTCAACAGGCCACTGGGTCGACGTTTGGGCTACTCATTGCCCTTCATGGGCAAGGTACTTGCCATATTGAGATTCCATTTGAAGCATGTATGCATGCATTTGATACTCCGTATACACCAATAAGACTTCTGACCTACCACATAATTAGAATACTAAGTCTAGTAGTCCTTTTTTACGATGTTTCTGCGTTTCTATCGATCTTCGATACGCTGGAATGATGTTTGATCTTCTTCTGTCATGCCCTTAGAACATTTCGAATCAATATTCACCAAAAACCTATATGTACTTACACAAGAATGTGTTTCCAGCGTTTTTGATGATGTGCGAGTATATCTGTCATTCTTTGCTTGCCTCTAAATTCTTGGCCGACGTTTACATACCTTTTTATCAAACCATGCATGATCTAGTTTGAATCTATCTTTTTTTTACATTTCATGAATTTTGAGCAATCCAATTTGATGCCTTGATTCTTGTTCAATTATTTGGAAATTTTGAGCGTCTGAAATTCAAATTATTTTTCTATAACATGGTATGAACTAATGTTCGCGATCTAAATTAAGTAGTATTGAATAGATAAATTATTTTATCATCAATACCATAAAAATGACATTTTGCTAACCCTAAAAATTATAACATAGATCTCTATCAATTTTGACAAAAATCATAAATTGCCTACGACTATGGGAATTTGCCTATTTCTGTGGCATTAATGTTATCATGAGACTGATTACTAGTAAACAAATCATTAATGGTTAAATGGAAACTCATCATTATGTAAAAGCACTGATAAGTATTAATACCTACGTAAAACTACAAAAATTTCTCATGCCTGAACTATAAAAGATTGACTTGATTGATAAAAATCACTATTGCTGAAAACTCAGTCATTGGAAGCAAATAGAATCTTTGCTTCATACTGAACGCCATGCTGGAGTGATATAGATGTGGCAAGAAACTGGACTTCTCATGACTGGCACGGGAGAGAATGTGCTGGAATGAGTCCAGAAAGGGTGTTGCTCTGCAGGGAGGTTGCTGGTACAGCCCCTATTGAACGGTTAGAGCGTTGGACTCGGAACCAAGGTCCCGGGTTCGATACTCACCATGCCCCAAAGTTGTACCCTCGGGAAAGACACTTTAGGCGACTTCCCTCCTTGTACGGTGGAGTGATACCCACCGTGCTTCTTAGGCTAATCTCTCTAAATGTGTTCCAACACCACACTTGTGTGCGCCAAAGTGCCAAAATCTGCAAATTTGCCACCGAGAGCCCTAATTTGTTTGGGTTTGCTTGAACCATTATTCATGAGAAGCTCAAAACACCCTGCAGGCCATTTTCATTGAGGTCATGAGGGAAGAGGTTAGACAAAGTATATAAAAAAAATAAAGTTTATATCATTTACCTCAGAGCGAACATCCCCCTTGGACGATAACGATAATGATACACACGCAGGCTTATACAGTTCTCTTAACCTTGTAATGGATTAAAAGCGTAATCAAATCGAACAGACTGTAGGATTATCATATAAATTACGACCTTGGCAGATGTTCCTCTTTACTTTTTTCAAACTCCACTGGTATTGAAAACAGATGGGACTGGCTCAGTGGCAGAAAATATATCGCAGAAAAATAACACACCTGTCAGATTTAATGCATGGTGTCTACTAAAGTGATTTTCTGCGAGGGTATAATGGAACTTACATCTATGAACATATTGCAGGGGTCTGCAGGAAGACGATAAATCTTTATATTCATTCGTACTCCCAGCATATTGAGCATTAGTGTGGCGGTGCCTTGCCTTAGGAATAACCATGATATAGTCATTGGAAATAGTCGAAATAGTCAATAAGCTCAGCGTCTTATGACCAATGGCAGTAGAAATGAATCTTCTCATACCCAGGCTAGAGGATATCTCTATAGTGTGTCATTTGCCTATTCAGAGCTCATTCAGCATTCTGAAATGGGTAACGGTTTAGAAATTAGAAAATATATGACTAGATCTTTATCACACAGGACTCAAACCCAGCCAGATTTACAGAAGATAAACACTTGGACACAAAACAAATACAACAACTTTTCTTATTTAGACATCTAAATTAGTTGAAGGCCCTACGGTCATTTTGTATATACAGTAAATATCATTCATAATTAATCATCACTACAGGTATTGATCTCTTTATTAGAATACTCTCCTGCCTATTCATTTTGCAATGAAAAACGGTCTTTATATTTAATATATCTAATTGCAATTCTAATCCCGAATACTAATTTTAGGAGACCGTTTTTTGTTATTTTTCCAAAAATTTTTGATAGATATTTCAACTGAAATAAACAGTTTCTACCTTGAACAGAGCAGAGGGTCTCAAAGTTGACCATTTATGTTCATACCCCATTAGTCAACACATCTTTCCAAAGCCATAGAATGTATTCAACAAGGCCACATATTGCAGTCACACATCCTATTTTATCCAGGTATCTACATTCATGTACACCCATCGGATATATCCATCTCATAAACATTCAATATATCTGCAGCAATAAATCTTCCAACACAATACATATTTACTCAGCACTGTACCGCATAAACCAGCACATAAAGAAGCCTAGGGATAGTGTCTTGTCACAATGTGATAAAACATTTGTTTTAATGTCCCGATGTTTTTAGCAATAAAACCAGTATATAACAAATATCCAGTTCACAGGTATGCCTGATTCTAATCCAAGAAGAAGCTGCCTTCGGAAACGTATCTAGTCATTAAGTATGCCTGTTTATTGATGTATGAAGAAAGGGATGCGATAATTTGATTCGTTTCTAGATTAAGACATTACTATTTATAGCGTCATGTTACGATTAAGACTTGATCAAAGAAGGTACGTAAAATGCCTGCCTAATGATGCGAGTGCTATGAAAACTTTAGGTGAGATATTTTCAATCAATTTATATTTTTCATGGGTGTGCATCAGAAGTTTTGATAGTTTATAAAGTACGTTTATGAAGTTTATCCACGTCGTTCGTCTTAGAGGAACTACAAAGGATCAGTCGGCTAAACATAACGCCGTTTGAGATGATAACAATAGCCCTTTCCAGTCATTTACAGTCTCAACGATAATGGCCGTACCTTTCCATTGATATGTTTTAGTACATGTCCCTTTGCTCCACAGGTATCCCAGTAAGTCCCATTATTTTGTTCCTGGCACGTTATCGTCCCATAAATCCTGACATAACCGATAGTCTGGGAGCAAGGGTCTCTCGTTTGGGCTGCCTAATGGCCATTTGTGGCTGAATAAAGGCATTAAACGGTAACCGTTAAAATGCGGGGCAGTTTCAGAGAATCAGTCGCTACGTGAGGTGATACGCGCTAGGCCCACTAAACCGTTTTCACGCTCGTCCTCACGCTTTGATGTATACGACTCTAAAGTTCTTTGGCGCCAAAAAATGACAACTGCCGAAACTTTAGTCTACTTACTGATCCCCGAGGAGGCAAATGTCGATGAAGCATTAATATTCCGGTCGTTTAGCTCTGTTTTGTCACTTTACTTTTTTACTGAATCTGCAGGACGGCGCTGCCCATGTTAATCAATTCCTCAGAAATTTCAAATATAAAAATTCTCCAAAACTAGTTTTTGTAATATGGATATCTTGATGGCTTGAGAAAAATCCATATTGCGGCAAAAAGCAGCTACATACAAAATTTCCGTACTGGAAACTCCTTAGGGATCTATTTCCTAATATTCTCTATATTTCAAAAGAAATGTACTATTTTTTTAAAAACTCTACTCCTAGGGACAATACACTTAACACACAAATGCACTTAATACACGAAAATGTTTAAAGGCAAAGTTGATGTGCGTACATGGGCACTCAGAACTGCTTTCATGGATTTGAGAGGAATATGATACGATTAAGTCGTCTCTTTTGATAAGTTTTTTTGTGACAATCTAGCGACAATCTAGTTTCGACCTGAAAGTCAAGATTTAGCTCCGATTTTCTTCAAACTCTCAATTTGACTGGCATGCTCTCGGGAACAAAGTTACTCAATAGACATCCTCGGCCATTTATCAAGTTAATTCTTCGACCTATTCAAAGACATCTGTCTGGGGCCCTGAGTGCTAATGATATTGACAGTTGAGCAAGGCAGCTTTTTAATG